GCCATTCGCTGCACCAAGCTACGAACTCGTCAAAGAGACTTGTCGCTCACTGATGATGCCGACTTCGATGCTGGCGAAACGTTTGAGAATGTATCAAGTCCTCTGTCAGATGCTGGGAGTCATGACAACTACTATAGCAGACGACTTCGGACTAGGTGCGTTCTACATGGTCTCCCTGAGCACAAAACCAAGTTGCGACAACGAGGTCAACCCATACTTATGGGGTTTAGGTATGAGTGATGAAGTCTTCTCCCAACACACGCTAATCTGCTGTAAGCGACGAGAAATGTAGAGACAATTTCAGTTGAGAACAATTATGCATTGGATTTGGTTGACAATTATTTTGCAATATTAACAAAGAGGATGACAGGCCAGGATTCTGATGCAACCTTCTTGTAAGCTCAAGAAGAAGATTGGATAATTGTTGAGAAAGGGGGGCATTAGAATAATATATAAATAGGAGATAACAACTTTCAAACTATTTAGATCTTCTATTCAGATCAGATTGTGGCAAGGTCTTGTGTTTATATGGGGGAGAACTGACGATCCATTCATCCGCACACGAAGCAATCGTCAAAGATTTGTGGGCCCAACAGTCAGAATTGTCCGAACACATGGCTTTGCAGGACACAAGGTAAACACGTCTTAATCCTTATCAAACCGAGCCAGCCTAATCATTATGTTTTTTTCATTTTTACACAAATTGAGAAGATATGACTCATAAACTTGAAGTGGGAATAATAAAGGGTTCTAGCTTTGATGATGTCTGTAAAATAGCGTAACAGAGTACACACACTTTCACACACTTTCAGGTCAGCTTCACTCGTGTCAAGAGAGTGCAGAGTTGAAGATGAGTCTGGTCCACACTATTGGATCTGAGGCCAGTCGCAAGACTGCCTCGGTACCTCCGCCAAGACAATCATCGCCCCGACCGGTCTCACATGAGACTCATACCGAAAAAAGTGGTGAAAAGAGGAATATTGTGGCCGGCACGATCACGTTACCCTGCATTGATTGATTTTTACTCTTGTATTTAGTAGAACTTTGCTAGCATAATCGGTAATCAATTTCAGGAGGGGAAAGCTAACAACGGCTGGCAGAGCTTTGAGGTTGGAGGGGCAGCTTATTATTGGCCGGATTACAGTTGGCCGATGGGATTTTAGCAAAAGACACTCTAGTCCAAATAGGAAAACGGGATGGTACGTATGATTATGTTTGAGTGTGTTTGTATTTGCATGGATGTGTAGATTGCTGCGTGTGTATGAAAAAGCAGATGCATGCAAAAGCCAATGTCGCCTGAGTGGCCATTATTTTAAGTGGCTCGATAGTGCTCGAACTGTCCGTAATACCCAACTCCGTCCGGACAGTTGAGCAGGGCGTTCAGGTTGGCCTTCTCCATTCATGCGCTCTCTGCGAGAAGCAGAGACGGAATAAATGCAATTTTGCCTGCACTAAGCAGGCTCATGACGCTAATAAAAAAAACATACAGACACACACACACACATGCCCGCATGCAAGGGGAGAAACATAGAAAAGAACATGGAAACGTACAGGCAATTCTCCTGATTACCAGAGGCAAATGGGGCTGCTGGTCAGTGTGTTCATCCTTTTGTGTGCCTGTCAGGTGTGGGCTCATGGGTGTGTGTGCACGATTGCCTTTGCGAGTGTTTCTGTGCCGTAGTTGTGCCGCCTCGAAGGCAGTGCCAGGCAGACGAGCAGACGAGCAGACGAGTGGGCGAAGGGCTGGACGGAGGAAGGGACTAGAAGACGAGTCGACGAACGAACGAACAAACGAACGAACATCCAGGCCTTAGGACAGGCCAGCATAGAAAAAAGAGGCACCGGGATTAGGCAAAACCGGTACAGATTTTGAGTCGAGTCGGCAACTGAACGGCCTTCCGCCGAGAGGCCAGTGTCAGGACTGCAAAGGGCAGATGAGCAGAGGGGCAAACAAGATAGGGCTTATTCACATTCACTTGAAATCATGTCGTTACGACTAAACTGAGCCATTAAGCAGATGGTAACAAAACGTGCAGAGGCTATAGGGTATTGTCACAAATGGGCAATTGTGCACAACTTGATCAGTAAATTAGTTTTTGCCCAAACCGTTAGGCCCCCCAGTCAGTCGGAGAATCACACACTTCGAAGCTCTGACTCTCGCCGACTGTTGCTTCCACAACGTCTTAGCAACACATTGTTAAACGGCTCATTGTGCGCTTTTCGGCATCTCCTCAGGCCACAACAGTTCCTCTGTTCCTAACCTCCAAACCGGCCAGACGCAGAACGATCCCAGATGCTAATCGCTTTCTTGACCTCCACCAGAAAAGGACAATTTTCAGCCAATTGAGACAAGCTATTCACCTCGATTCGTCTTCACCACGACCTCAACTTGTTGGTCCATCGTGGCTCCAGGCCGGTCCCAGTGCTCGACGTATCATTTTCACGTAGGACTAACCCGCCAAAATGAGTCAGCTGAACAAGTCGGGTTGAGATTGTGAACAAGAGTTGGATGTAGCCTAATCAATTGGTTTATAATTGTTCAGCTAACGTGAGTTTGTAGAGAAAGTGTGTGATGTAGAGTCTCAAAGTTGATCATACCACAAGATGACGGCAGAGTCATCTTGACCAGTTGTCGATTGGCTTCAATGGAACATTCTTGTTGATGTTGTTTCCAAGACAATCTCCCGCGATTCCGGTGAAAATGTTCTCTGACACAAACAGAAATACGCAAGGGCTTCTAGATTGACATATGACTTGAAATATCCTAATCTCTTTATACCTAATCAAAATGCATATATTAGGGTACATACACAGCAATTAGGGATAAGTCGATGAATCTTCTTGGCTCGTTAGGCTTAATATGATTGTAAGAATGATACCCTCCTTTGACGAAATGAAGAGGAAGAGTTAAGAACACTTTCACCGCAATCGAACGAGATAGCCTTGGAAACAGAGTCAGTAGGAAGGTCCCAGCGAGGCTAATCGGCCGTCGTCTTCTAATGGGTTCGACCTTCAAATCCATTCGGCGAATACTTTCACTCTAAATAAAAGTAGGCTCAACAATTATGGACCAGACGATTCCTGTATTCCTAACTATTAACCTAAAATTACACTACCAGTCCTTCATCACCTTAAACGAAACATGGTGAATACATCTCATATTACTGATTTACTGGTAGTCTCAAAACTCTACTTAACTACGAAAAACTAACTATTAATCACATAAGAAAATTTGAATCACGATTCAGCAGTTAAGGTAGTTGAATCAGGCATTTTGAGGACCAAAATGTGAGGAAACTTTTTAACACGGTAAGCCCAGGGCTGACAATTTTTGTGAAACCTGTCTCTCCTGTGTACACATCAATGCCAAAAGTAAAGAAAAGTGAACGACTTATTATGCATTGGTAATAAAGTGTTTGCCATTTTTAGGTACCTGATGTTTGACAGCACACACCGACTTATATATGGTGCTACAGAAAATGACAGTGATTCTTGCCCCAAAAGAATGAAATGCAATTTCGGTAGCCCCCTCCGGACACGAAGTCTCGAATTGCAATCTCTGAGGCTGAAATGTCGTCATGTCGGTGGCTCTAGTTTTTATCTATCATGATCTGTACCACAAGCTAGACCTCTTTCTCCCACACCTTTCGCGAGTTTGACGCAATTCATCTGGGCAGACTCCTCGACATTTGCCATACCACCAGACGAAACTGGTGCGCATTGACAAACCGGGCCTAAGGGAAGGCAATGCAGACCCTTGATTAGGGTTACATTTTGCAAATCTGCCACCATAAGACGATTTCAAGCAGAAAAGATTGTATGACTGATGCTTATTCACAATGCCTATAGGCTTCGATGCCTTAATTGCGTTGTGGGAATTCCTAAAAACCGGATTACAAAGGAAAAAAAAGTTATAGAGGCTGTCTGAGACTCACAGAATACCACTGACTCCAGTCAAGACAAACGGATAAAGTATCACATGGTTGTACTTCCGCCATCTGGAACGGGCCGTATGTCCATGACCAAAGAGTAGCGGGAAGTGAGTTTGTCCCTAAATTCACATCATATTTATTCGTCCTATTCCGTTTAAGCTGATGCTGAATTGGCAGTTGAATTTTCCCACAATTATGTGAGTAGACTTTACGCTTACAATAAATTTCACTTGGCCTTGCCAGGCAAGGATAGATTGCAGTTTCCACCTAGCCACTGTCGCATTAGTACCCCCAGCGAGGCTCAAGCCCGAGTAATGGAGTGTACAATCTCAGCACGTTAACCACTACATCACAATTCCACAAGTGTCCATTGACAACACGGCAGAAATGAATTTCAAGTAAGCATAGGCCTCTCCCTCATCACATTTCTGTGGTGGGATTGTCTACAAAGATAAGATGTATTTGTTGTAGAAATCGATTGCATTACTTATTTTTCGTTTAAGAGTAATATCTACTATCATATATAGCATCTACCGGTGGCCTCGATACCATACGTATAAATGATTGTCATAGCACGTAACATACAACTTTGCATCTTCTATGAACCTAACACAGAAATGTGATATGGCAAAGGTGTAGGCTTCCTTGAAAATAACTTTCTTTGCTTCGAGGGCACTCGTAGCAGAGTGGCAGAGTGGTTTAAGTGTCGAGACTGTATACAGCACTACCATAGCCCAGGTTCGAGTCCCTCTGGGGTTCTGATGAGGCCTTTTTGGAATAAATGATAAATGTAACTCTATAGGAACGTGAAGCATACTCGTATCATTGTTGGATAATCTATCTAACAACTGAATTTTAAGAAAAATTTTCATCCCTTTGCATTCTATGGAACCCCTCGAAGAAGGGCGCTATTTGAAGCCGCCTTCTCGAGACTATAGAACATTTGGCAATGTTCTGGAGGTCTAAATTCCTGGAATCCGGAAGGTCACAGTTAAGCATATGAACTTGTTGCTAGTCTCAAAAACTACTAATATCA